ATCTAAAATGATTTCATACATGTCAAATAATTTCTTCTTGCTCCCAACTCTATTTAGATTGTTAGATAGAGGACTGGTGAATGAAATGTGTGCACTGGGGGGGAGAGGGGGCAGGTTCCCCAGCCTGGCCTGTGCCCTCTCACAGTGTGGGAACCCCGCGATCAATCTCCCCAAAGAGATAGGCCCCGCCCACCCATCCAGGGCTCCTCGATGGTAGGCTGGAGCCAGGGGTCCCGCCCCCACTGTCGTCACCAAGCCGCTGGGACCTGCCTCCGCATCGCGCGGAACCCCTGGCGTCACCGTGTGGAGCCCCGTGACCCACCCCACCCACGTGCATCCGATGGGCACGCAACCTCCTGGTGATGGATTGTTACCCGTGAGGGCATGACAACCACGTAGGCTTTTATTAGTATAGATATGAATATCTGACATATTTGGATGGTACAATACATTATAAATTGTATCTGTTCGTAATTTTAGTGATAATAACAATAGAAAAAATACACTGAAAATTTATAAACTCAACAAATTAGTCTGTAAATGCATATATTCTCGGTTAAAACCAACACCACATATCCTTTAATAAATAAGTTACAGGCTACTTTTGTACTGTAGGGTAACAAGTTTTATAATTACTCTTACAAAAAACACTTTTTAAAAGTACAAATCTGTTTTCTAGACAGAATAAAATTTCTTATTTCTTATCAAGGTGACCCTATAAGGTATTTTTATTCACTTACTAAGAATAGAATCTTTAGATTACCTACAAGTTTGCAGGTTTCCTTTAGCTTCTCTCTAGATAGCTCCTTCATTCACATCTTTTTCCATTTTAAAGTACATGTCACTATTAATTCCTTGAGATATTTTCACCAACCTTACAAACAAAATGACCAAGCTCCTCATTTTGGCTCTATACAAGACTAAATTTAGAATTTCAGCTGTACTTTAAAATCTCTACACAAGATTGACTTAACCTAGCTTTCCCTTTCTACCAAATTCAAAATTCATGCCTCTGGGTAAACTGGAAGGTTACTGCTCTGACTGCAACCTCATCTACATGTCTGCAGTACTCGATGGTCCATAAAAAAAAACCTAATCAAAATGTAGTCCACACGTTTGAATTATCACAATATTGCTTAGCATTCCATTTACGTCTTCTTTTAAGATTAGTTTCTAGCAAATAAAAGTACAAAAACTGTCGTTATAACTTTGCAGTTTTATTATCTTTCCTCTAAGGCCTTCGCATTTGAAGATTAATCCCTGCTCTAACTGATATAAATGTTGATTTATAACAGCAAACAAGCAACCAAAGATAAATGAAGGAAATTTAAAAGAACCTTATAGGAAAGCTTTTAACACATGTTTAAAAATATAACTTCTTTAAAAATATAACTTTAGGGGTAAATAATCTGCTTTCCACTGTAGCGGGAGATTAAAATACTATGTATATTGAGCAAGAAAAAAACTTTTTCAAAAGCTTATGGCAGTTTGTTGGAAAAATTCTACAAAACTATTACATGAATTTCCTCATTTTAAAGAAAACTATAGATAAAGACAGACAAAAGAAGAGGCGCTGCTAACTTTTGTATAAATAAATAATTTTATACAATGATTTCAACAAACCAGATGGTGAACATTCACTGAATATGACTACCATTGAAAGTTGGCTTCAGAACAGGTCAAATAAAAATATAATTCAAGAACAGTTTGAATTACTTAGAAAACATTAAGAACTTGTTTCTAAAAATTCTATGGGTAGCCCAGTCGGCATGGCTTAGTGGTTGCGTGAACTAGGAGGTCACAGTTCAATTCCCAGTCAGGGCATATGCCTGGGTTGTGGGCTCGATCTCCAATGTGGGGCATGCAGGAGAGAGTCAATTAATGATTTTCTCTCATCATTGATGTTTCTGTCTCTCCCTTCCTCTTTGAAATCAATAAAAATATATAAAAATTCCATGTGCAAGTGAAACTGCACTTATTGAAACAATGGTATATGAAAATATGATTACACATTTACAAACAATAAAAAAGAGCTGCTAATAACAGAAATTTTTATTGAAGGGAGCAATATAAAAAAGAAAACCAGGATATGTAAAAAGAAGCCCTTGCCCTAACCGGTTTGGCTCAGTGGATAGAGCGTTGGCCTGCGGACTGAAAGGTCCCAGGTTCAATTCTGGTCAGGGGCATATACCTTGGTTGCAGGCACATCCCCAGTAGGGGGTGTGCAGGAGGCAGCTGATCGATGTTTCTCTCTCATCGATGTTTCTAACTCTCTATCCCTCTCCCCTCGCCCTTCCTCTCTGGCCAGGGAGAACCCACAGAAAGCTGGCCCAAATCTGAGGGCCAGGGAGAAACCACAAACTTGAGCTTTCACACCACTTTTGTTAAAACAAAGTAGAGGCTGTCACCACTTGACCTGATACGTTGCAGGATCAAGAAACGGCATATGAGCAAAGAATTCTGCCACAAGAAGAGGAAGAAGCTTGGAGCAAGTGTAACCTAGAAGGTCTGAGAAAGCCTCAGAGTAACTAGCAGGGCTGAAGGAAGGTATTTCTCTCGTAAAGGCAGTTATTAAAGACCCCTAGGAGGTAACTGCTGCTCCAAAGGAGAGGATAGCAACTCATAACTTCAAGGAACATGGAAAATCAATATTACATGACACCACCAAAGGATTACAATAATCTAGTAACTATTCTCTGATATCCTCCATTATACATACAACATGCAAATAAACCCTCGTTGAGTGAAAGAATGATTAAATGAATGAATACCACCGCACTCTAAAACTGATAATTCTTCACGTGTGTGTGTGTGTGTGTGTGTGTGTGTGTGTGTGTGTGAATGTAAATTTCTATATAATATAGCTATCTTTTAGAAAAGTGGAGCTATTTCTGGACTAACTGGGTGTAATTCTAGTCTTGTATTCAAAAGCAGCAGCAGCCCCCAAGCCCCATCCCAAGAATATTTTCCTTTGGGAAAATAGCCAGCTTGTGCTGTTTTCTTTGAATTTCAGACCACACAATAACTCACTCTGCTTTCGGACCAGATTACATCTGCTATCCAGGTGCTGTATTGTGAGGATCACACATTCAGTCAAAATGAAGACATCACTAACATAGGGAATGGGAGAAACAGATCTACAAGGGAATTTTATTAAAAATCTAAAATTGCTTTTTTAACTCCAAGTAAAATTTGGTGTTTTGGTAAAGACCTTTAAAGCCATAAAGAGTGTTACTTAGCTCAGGAAATGATGATGCTGTATATAGAAAACTATTGAGATTTCAAGGTCCTTTCATAACCTATTAGTGAACATTAAAAAGCACCACACTGTTTTACACAAACTCCCAATATCCCACTGAAAAAAACTTTCTGAATTCCAATGGTACTTACTGAAAACAACTCAACCTGTTCTACTAGCAACTCAGTCAACCTAGTACTCTAAGTATTTCAATGCCCAATCTAGACTCTGACATCTTTGGAGCAGTCCATGTCTTGAGATATATCTTCTAAGCCTTCTCTTTCTTTTCGTATGATACTACAACATATAGGCATTGTGAGTACTAAACAAATGCATATTTGTTCATTTACTGCTATTAAAAGTTGTTAATCAACATTTTAAGGAGGAAAAATAAATTAATGAGGAATAAAGGAAGGCCATCCCATCTATAAAGAAAGCAAGAATGCCCTAGTTTTGTCATTATTTAAACTTGATGGTTGACTTAATGTTTAATGAATATTATGGTTCTCTTCTGATTTTATCTAATTCACACGTGGTGATGTGAACAAATAAGCAATGCGTCCTTGTGTTGATAAAAAATTGATAGCCTATGATGCCATGATACACAAATTATCTTAAATGTTCTATTAGCAACTCAGCCAATACATTTTAACAAAAACTGAGGGGGAAAGAATGGCTATGCAATCTTCCCAGAAAGAATGTGATACTAAGTTTGTTTGATCCTGGGTGTTCTTTTTGGCCTTTCTGTATGTGATTCCTGCTTGTAGGTTCTTGGAAGCAAGAAAAATGGAATTAGCTGGTTCTTTGGGAGTTAGCTAGATACACTGAACTCAAGTAAGCTTCTGTTCTTAAATCACTTTCTTGGGTCTATGAACCTGTCTCCCATTCAGGTTCTTATCACTCTGTAGTGTAACTGCCAAAGTTCTTAAATATCTTCCCAACCCGACTACAAGGTCCTCTGGGAAGGGCTATGCATTGCTGCGACGTGGTGCGCAACACTTACTGAGTGAATCAATGTTTTCCACCTGAAAACTGCAAGATAAAGCCTAGTGATCAGCTGGGCCTAATCAACTTGTGAACCAATGGAGAAGACAAGTGAGACAGAAGGTTTTAATGTGCATGTTTACCGTTTACTGAGCAGGTGTCATGAGACAGAGCCTTTCCTGAACAATGCCTGCATAGTTCATCTTCAGATATGACTAGGAGACTGCATTACCACATTTCTCCAAAATCTACAGAGGAATTTCCACATGTTCTAAGACCTAAGTCTTGCTGTTTTTTAAAAATCTGTTTTTACTTAAGAAGAAGAAAGCATATAAAACTACTACATTCTATTTTCTTACATCCCTATCACTAAAAACAGCTGATTTTTCCTTTTTTAAAAAAAAATTACTGGCTAGCAATAAAATTCTGAAAATACAGATTCATGATGGAAACTGACTCAAACTAAACCACAGCAAGGCTATTATAAAAATATGGTGTTTAGGTGCAAGCTATTTAATTTGGCTCACAATTTAGACTAAGCATATTTTTAAAAAATATATTTTTATAGATTTCATAGATGAAGGGAGAGAGAGACAGAAACATCAATGATGAAAGATTGAGCTGGCAACTGGGGATTGAGCTGGCAACCCAGGCATATACCCTTGACCAGAATCGAACCTGGGACCCTTCAGTCTGTAGGCCAACTCTCTATCCACTGAGCCAAACCAGGTAGGGCTAAGAGTATTTTTTAAATTAAATATATTACAATTTTACTCACTTCAAAGCTTCCTCAAATTTATAGATTTTCTTTTGAGTATCTTCTTTTTCTTTATCAAGCTCACTCTGCAAGTCGTGAACCTGCCATGACAAGACGTGGCACATGTATCAGAAGACAAGGAAAGTTTGCTCAAATAAGAAGTACAAACAATGACACAGCAATCTTAAGTCCATTTTCATATAAAGTTAGATTTAGCTATTTCAAAATAGAAATTGGACTAACCATAATCATTTAGCATATAATTATTTTAATACTCTATTTCCAACACCACTTTTCTGATCAAAGTTAATAACTGTTTGAGTCTCCCTGCATGTGGATTTCCTGTGAAATAGACTGACATGTAAAACACTCCAAAAGGGAGGAATAACTTGAATTTTTTAAACAGTTACATATTAGCCAAAGGAAAGGAATCTCATACGATTCAGGAGAACGCAAGTAAGAATGTGTCTGTACTCCCAAACTCATATAGGTGGTGATGAAACAGTCTTCACAGGTGGTGATGAAACAGTCTTTGCTGCTGGGAATGATTCCTATAACTATTCACTGAGTTTGGGAGGAAGTCCCCACCATGAGTATCTGTTTCCTAGATGTGGCATCCTTTCAGTAGGTGGGTTGGCAGCATGAGTAATAATAACAAATGAAAATTTTGCTTCACAGAAAATTCTTCATATGCAGATGCAGACGTAAACGTATCTAAAAATAGGAGAAGGCAACTCTGGTACAGCTGGAGGGAGCAGGAGGAGTAAATAGCAGCCATGGCTCCACATACATAGCCATTGAGGGTGCAGAGCAGCTGGTAGGAAAGAAAACTCGTCACTTAGAGGGGTGCAGATGCCAGTCAGCTACACACCTGCCACCAGCCCAGGTGAGGCTGAACGTGCAACTGCTGGGTAAGGGGATAGGAGAGGGATGACAAACCAACAAAACACACACACACACACACACACACACACACACACACACACACACACACACACACACACACCTTCCCAAACTCTGAATCAGTGCTAGCCAAAAGTCCCTGTAGTTGGCTATTTATAATAGTTTGGATGGAGATCTAGTTAACTCAAAAATCCTATATTCTTTGACCCATTTTGGCTTTTCTCCTACTCATTCTTGAAGTGTATCATCTGTTAAGATTTGGTGCTTGACAACTGCAGGGGGCATAACCTTGCTTCTATTATGTCTCCCAGTGTGGTCTCCTCCTCAGAGCTGTGGTTAAAATCCACTTCCCAGGAAATCCCCAGGAGGGTTTGGGGGTTTCTACTGAGGAGGAGTTTTTCTTCACACCCACAGCCTACTTCTCCCTGTCCTCTGAACAATACATTACTACACGGGGAACTAACAAGCAGCCGCTATCAGAGTCTCTGATGAGTCACTGGTACTTTACACGCTGGGACTGTGCCTCCAATGTGCTGGGCTAGGAGGGGCTTCCCCTGTATTGGCTGCTCAATTGTTTTCTGGGACTCAGAACCCTGTATGAAAGTATAATTGAGACTTACTCCTTTAAGTGAAAGCTTCAAAAATTAATCATTTTTGAGAAAATTCAATCTAAAATTATAAGGTGATTATGAGTACAAGCTCTGAGTCAGACTGCATGGGTTTGTCCCCACACCTTCACAAGTTACTCAGCACACTGTGCCTCAGCTGCCTGATCTGAGGAATGGGGACAACAGGGAGTATATTGACATTGTGAAGAGTTCATGTTACTCCATGTAAAGCTTTTAGAACAACATAGAGAACATAATAAATGCTCAAAAACTATATAAAATTATCACCTTCTTAGATTAAATACTCTATACACAAACATTTTCTTGAAAACTCAAGGTCATTATGATTACCCAAAATCACAGTATGCCCCCATTCAGTGATTCCCTTAGATGGACTGTCTGTCCTTTCAGAAAATGGCCCCTGAATTGCTAAGAATTCTGAGTTCTTGCAAGTGCTTTTTATCCTTCACAATTCATTCTTAATCTCTGTCAGTGTACAGCGGCCACTTCCTGATGTGTGGTCAGTGCCCTAACGCAAGCACCTCGATCTAATCTATGCTTCTATTAGAACCGCTTCTATGGCAGGAATGGACCTATCTGAACGGAAGAAGGAGAGCCTTCCCTCTGAGTCATACATCCATGTGTCAAAGCACAGCCTTCTGAGCTGGGGTTCCCTAAGCCAGAAGCTGTTTCTCATTTATTTTATATCCCCAGCACTCAGCACAACCAACACCTGGCTCTCACTAGAATAGCCAACAAATGCTGTTCTGGGTTTGTTTGTTTGTTTGTTTGTTCTTAAATGAATATATTCGCATCGTATACTTAAGGGCCATTTTGGGTTAAATTTCTAGCTTCTACCCAGGTCTCAGATAGTTGTGGGTAACACAGATAATGCTGTCCTTTTTAAAAAAATATATATTTATTGATTTTTTTTACAGAGGAAGAGAGAGGGATAGAGAGTCAGAAACATCGATGAAAGAGAAATATCGATCAGCCACCTCCTGCACACCTCCTACTGGGAATGTGCCCGAAACTAAGGTACATGCCCTTGATCGGAATCGAACCTGGGACCTTTCAGTCTGCAGGCCAACGCTCTATCCACTGAGCCAAACTGGTTAGGGCAAGTAATTTAAGTTTTAAATAATTTCAGAGTTAAGCAGCCATAAACACACTTACCAAATGTATATTTTACTCCCTTCCACCCTAAGAATTTAAGGCAGCAGGAAGTGAGTACCTGTGTATATGAGAAAGGGATTCTGCTGCATATAAGGAAACAGACGAACTGTGGCAGACGTCACAGCACGGCAACGGGCACGAAGCGGCGGCTGCCCCCACACATCGACTAGCGGGGTCCCTCCACTGCTCCTTTTCATTGCTCCAACCTCTACTCCCCAACATGAAAAATAGGTTCTGGGCTGCAGGGCTTCTAGAAATCATTTGACTGCACAAATTCATTTCTAAACACTTCACTCAAGGCACGTGTCCTTGTAAAGAAAATCAGGCCAGTAATAGTTAGAATATACCACACAATTTATTATGTGTAAAGCTGTGGGAATCTTAAATTATTTTAATCTAATTAAAAGAAGTCTATATGCACACTAAACACTGGAATAACTATTTTTCGTGGTTTTGAACTCCATCAGACTGTATATCTCACTTGCTAGAGAGTTACATCAGAATTATTATAAGTAGATATTTCCATTCTAACACATTCTGGAAAGTCCATGCTTAACATCTGCCTCATGAACTGCTTTAGGTAAACACCACCATCTCTTTCTCTCTGGTGCCTGTTTGGAAAACAAGCAATGGGTTATTTGTCAGAGGCAGGTGTTTCCTTGCTAGTAAAATCATTTAGCCTCACCATTTCCTGACTTAACAGATTAGGACACTTCATCAAACAATGACATTTCGTTTTACTACCTATTATTTGTTTGATGTTCAAAGATCTTAAGAGCAGGGGATAGCCACCAGAGATCAATAGAGAGCCTGAGATAATGTGTGTGCTTAAATTAGGGACGGCATCGGATGCGTGTCTCTCACCTCAAAGACAAGCCAGATTCTCGTGCTGCTTTCTCATTGGCATGAGGAAATAGTGTCATTCAGATGGCATTTCCTCCTCCTGCACAGATACTCAGAGCAGAGTTTTATACCCAAAGTTATTGGCTGTGCACACCTGTCCCACCTGTAACACTGTCTAGCAAACAAAAGCCCTACACATCCCACTTCACTCTCCAGTTACACAGTCCAGGGCTACAGAAGATTTATGTCAGCTCTTTTAGCATCAGAAGGGATATTCCCTGAGGGGGGTGCAAGACATCAAATCTTCAAGGGCTGAGATCACAGCAGGTTTAATAAAGACAGAATAACAGATGTCAATTTAAAAGGGGGAGAACACGGAATTAATTGTAAAACAGAGGGACATGCTGAGCAACATTTTCTCTTCTAATATAAATAATGTGGGAACATATGCAAGATGCACAAATAAGCTTATTTTTCTTCTAGAGGCTGCCATTGTTCTAAACATGTCTTATTTACACTAAAAACAATTAATGCACTTTAATTAGTCCCGTTATTAAAAAGCTAGGCCAGTTGATACCATGTGGAAAGGGGGAGCTGTAGCTAGGATGCCTGATGGCAAGGGTTCGGCCTGCTGCCTGCAGTGAATGAGAACAGGAACGGTGGGAAGGTTACTGCAAAGAATGAACTGGGCTCTCTCATGCTGTTTCTTGTTTGTGTCCATCAGGCAGAGGGGCTGATCCTAACTTTAGTTCACCTCGCGGGTGGGATAGACACCGAGCAAAGGTGGCGGTAGGAGGAAGACTCTGGCTCTATCTCTCTATCTAACTGCCCTCAGTAGGACTTACAGGAGTTTGGGATAGAAACACATTCTTTTAAAATGAGTCCATGTGTGCCTTTCTCCTGGCGCCCAGCCCGCGCTCTGTCTCACAGGTACACAGATACCATCTCTCAGGAAGAGCCAGGGTGGGAGGCTGGGAGTGAGGGGCCGGGAAGGTGTTCCTTAAAGGATGGGAAGCCAGCTATCTGGCCAGAGAATGAACAATGGACTAAAAAGCACACCCAGAGGATGTAGCTCCTTCTACATGGGGAGCGAGTCTTCTCAGAATGCAAGCCTTCTTTTGGTAAGTAAAATATGTATGGAGCTGCATGGCTCAACAGCAGAAATGGAAAAATTCTACATTTTACTAAAAGCAATACTTCCCTCTCCTGTTCAGATGCCATTTTGTAGACATAAAGCACATTTAAGATCTTGCATTGAGTTGTATTCAAACTGCAAGAAAAAAAACTTCAGCAATAAGAAAATTTATTATAATTTTAAAGAGCACATATTCAGACCAATACATGTCCGTGGAAATATACACTTTTCCAAATGACAGAAACAGTCTTCTTCCTAGACAGTAAGCTCCTGGAAAAGAGCTTCTATGCCTAATTCATCCTCTACCCTCTCACCAGTCCCTAGTATGATATTCACCAATGAAAGCATTGAATGACTATCTGCTGAGTGACTATATGGGTACATAAGATGTGATATTACAGTTTTTAAAGAATTTTGTACTATAAAATCTGTTTAATTTTTCATTTGTATGTATTTTTAATTAGTTGAAGGGTTGACCTTTTTTTGCATTTTCTATTATGTGTGTATTTTACAAATGGCTTAATTTGATATATGTTAGAACAGTAAATCATTACAAAAGCAGCAACAAAATCTTTGCTATTTCAACTACTCTTTTACTTTCTATGTTATATAGCAAACAAGAAATTCAAAACTGAAGTTAGCCTAGCTCAGTGGTTGGCAAACTGCGGCTCGCGAGCCACATGCGGCTCTTTGGCCCCTTGAATATGGCTCTTCCACAAAATACTGACTTCTGTGCATGGGCCATGAAGTTTCAACCGCACTGTACATGTGCACCCTCACATGGTATTTTGTGGAAGAGCCACACTCAAGGGGCCAAAGAGCCACATGTGGCTCGCGAGCCACAGTTTGCCAACCACTGGCCTAGCTGGTGTGGCTCAGTGGTTGAGTGTCAGTCCATGAACCAAGAAGTCACAGTTCAATTCCTGGTCAGAGTACATGCCTGGGTTGTGGGTTCAATCCCCGGGAAGGGGTATGCAGGACGCAGTTGTTCAATGTTTCTCTCTCGTGGATGTTTCTATCTCTCTATCCCTCTCCCTTCCTCTAAAATCAATAAAAATATATATATTTAAAAAACCAAAGTTAAGTCACAAACTTAATTCTGCACTTTATTGCTGAAGATGTTAATAGTATGTCAAGGAACCCCAGTTATTACTGATGACAGGGATACCAGCTTATTTCAGGAGAAATATTCACTATTCTAATTGACAAGAAACAATCACTAATCAACTTTTTAGTAGACAAAAAAGTAGACAACTTTTTCACTGTTTTATATTCTTTGGTTAAATATTTAGAGTTCTTAGTATATGTACAATACAATAAAATACAAATGACTCCCATAAACTGTATCACATTTTTTAAATGATAGAAAATATAATTTTACTCTTTGCTCATTAAATATACAAGTGGTATTTTAAAGTTGATATAACTAATAATAGAATTGAAGCTGTTTACAAACATAAAAAACAAAAAAGCAAAATGTGATTACTGGCTGGCTGAAATAAACTTAGAATAAATTATTCTTTAAGAGCTATAATGCATGTCTTTATAAAAATCAACCTTCATTCTTAATTGCTTCATTTTCTATTTCAAATGTAGCTTCCCACAAAACACATTACCTTTTTTTCATAGGTGCGTTTTAAATTACTTTTCTCTATTTGAAACTCATTTTCTTGATCCTGTGAATGATAAATATTTTTATTATACTTAAAATTGCTACTAGAATGAATAAAATTGGTAATCTAATGAAATAAATAAATCTACTTGATGACAACCTGAGTTTCACATATTAGTAAGAGCATCCTACCAGTCTAATTTTCTAAACAGAAATATGATTAGGTTTATGTTAGAGGTCATAAAACCTTAGTTATCTAAAGATATTACTACTCTTAAAAGTACATACTTTACAGTAGAAGAGACGCTTTCTGGCCCTTAGGATTAGGAGATTACCTATAATGACCAACTGAATTAATACAGAAATAATAAATTTGAAGTTATACTATATACTAGTTCCTGGCATTTTTTGACCATGAGGGGGAAAGGAAAAATCTAATAGGAGAGGGGGAGAGGGAAAGAGAGAGGGGGAGAGGGCAAGACCGGGAGAGGGGAAGAGAGGGAGAGGGGGAGAGGGAGAGAAAGCATGAGAATTGGCAGATAACTCAAAGGGAGAAAATTATTCTTTGTACCTAGAGGGTATTATGCTAAGTGAAATAAGGCAGAGAAAGACAAATACCATATGATTTCACTTACATGCAAAATCTAAAAAAACAAAATGAATAAATAAAAGAAAACAGAAAGACTCGTAGATACAGGAAACAAATTAGTGGTTACCAAAGGGAACGGGGATGGGGAATGGACAAAACAGAGGAAAATAAGGGAAATTAAGAGGCACTACAAACTTCCAATTATAAAATAAATAAGTCATGGAGATGTAATGTACAGCATAGGAATATAGTCAATAATCTTTATTTATAAAAGCCTAAGCAACCGTTTGACCGTTCGGCCATTTGACCAGTAGCTATGATGCACACTGACTACCAGGGAACAGACGCTCAACACACAGGCATGGAAACATGGAACAGACTGATGAATCTTAGAGGGAAAGGGGGAGGGGAAAGGGCAGGAAGAGATTAACCAAAGATCTTATATGCATACTAGGGGACGGTGCACAGATTCGTGCACCGGTGGGGGGTCTCTCGGCCTGGTCTGCAGGGATTGGGCCGAAACCAGCAGTCTGACATCCCCCGAGGGGTCCCGGATTGTAAGAGGGTGCAGGTTAGGACGAGGGACCCCACTGGTGCATGAATTCATGCACCGGGCCTCTAGTAGTGTATAACTTTGCATGGGGACAGATGGTAAGTAGACTTATGGTAGGAATCATTTCCTAATGTATCTAAATATCAAATCACTATGATGTATACCTGGAACTAATAAGATACTGTATGTCAATTATATGTAAATACATAAATATATAAAAATAAAAGAATATATTTAAATAAAATTTATTTTTAAATTTAATTTCAAAAGAAAGATTATTCAAATGAAAATTATTGTTCTTTATTTCCTATATCCCATTAGCATCTACTTTTGTTAAGATAAATAAGATGAAAAAAATGATACAATGTGCAATAAAAGACTCAGAAATAGCTACTTACATTTTTAAGGAGTTTTTTAAAACTCTTATTTGTACATATAAATCAAGAAAAAGGAAAGTGAGGATGGAGGGTGTCAATGGGCAGGGGGTAAAAGGAGTACATCTATAATACTTTCAACAATAAAGTTGAAAGTGAGTTTCAGCCATTCTGTGAACAAATACAAGACCCACCTGTAGTTGTTGCTTTCTTTGAAGTTCTGATTCCTGTAACTGCAGTTTTAATTGACAGATGTTCTGTTCTAATTCTTTAATTGTACCAGAGGCCTAGAAAGATTTTAAGAATAAAAATAAAAAATTTGTACCATTTCACAATTTCTGGTTGAATAAATTTACCTTTTCCACCTTGAAGGTTCACTCAAAATTAAAATGATCTGTAAATCTGAATTTAAAATGTTTTTTAAAAATTAAAAAAATTCATCTTTTAAAGTAAAAATATATATTAAATTGTTTAGTGTTTGAAGTTATATAAATATAATAGTAATGAAGAAATAGCTGGTTTTACAGAAAAATAGTTTTACAGAAAACTTTTCAAATTGTAAAACCAAATCCACTGGAACATTCAATTCATGAAATACCACATAACTGACTACCTGAGAATTGTAGCTTTGGGATTCTCTTTGCAGAAAGTGTCCATTCTCAGACACAACATGTGTGTGCGCCAGTGGGGTGTCTGTGGGCTCACACATGTGCATAGGATGTTAAGAAAACTAAAGCATAGCCAAGATGTCAAAATAATAATAATGCATATATTCAGCCTAAAAATGTATTATTACCACAACTGAGCATTTCTTTTCAGATTTTTATGTTTCCTTTTATAAAAATGTTGGTACAAGGGTTAACTTATTATGGCAGAATACAGTTTATTAAATATTATGTCATCCTATCTAATAAAAGAGAAACATGGTAATTGGCGTATGACCGCTACCCTTCCCATTGTCTAATCAGCGAGATATGAAAATTAACTGCCAGCCAAGATGGCGGCCGGCAGCCAGGCAGCTTGAAACTAACATGAGGCTTGCTTGCTTCAGTGACGGAGGACTCCAACATTCCCCGCCTGCCGCTGCAGGCCTCTGAGCTGGCAGTTTGAAACATAGTTACAAAAATAGAAGCTAAACAAAACTCCAGAAACTAGCTTTCAGCTAGCCAGGATCTCAGACCTGGAGTTGATACAGAGTTTCGATTGTAGAACCTAAACAAACCAGATACCTGCTTTCAGGAGCGGAGGCCTAAGAGCTGGAGCCTCAGAGCTAAAGCTGGCTCAGAATAAAAAAAAAAAAAGAAAAAGAAAAAAAAGGAGCAGTTGGGAGCTTCAGTCCCAGCCTGTAAACAGCCCTCAGCCCCTCACCCAGACTGGCCAGTTACCCCAGTGGGGACCCCCACCCTGAAGGATGTGTAACCAGCTGCAAACAGCCATCATCCCCTCATCCAGGCTGGCCAGGCACCCCAGTGGGGACCCCCACCCTGATCCGGGACACCCTTCAGGGCAAACCAGCCAGCCACAACCCATGCACCAGGCCTCTATTCTATATAGTAAAAGGGTAATATGCCTCCCAGCACCAGGATCAGCGGAGCTGCGAGGTCTCCCGGCACCGAGATCAGCATGACAGGGGGCAGTGCCCAAACCCCCTGATCGCCCTGCAGCTCTGTGTGTGACAGGGGGCGGGGCTACAACCTCCCTATAGGCCCTGCTCTGTTCCTGACAGGGGAAGGCGCCCCAAGCCCCTGATCGGCCCTGCTCTGTGCCTGATAGGGGGGAGCTCCCCAACCTCCTGATCGCCCTGCGGCTCTGTGTGTGACAGGGTGCGGAGCCCCAACCCCCCCCCCCCACGGGCCCTGCTCTGTGTGTGACAGGGTAGAGCGATAACCTCCCCATCGGCCCTGCCCTGAGTGTGAGAGTGGCGGCGCCCCAACCCCCTGATCGGCCCTGCTCTGTGGGTGATAGAGGGCGGCGCCCCAACCCCCTGATCCGCCCTGCTTTGTACGTGACAGGGGGGAGCTCCCCAACCCCCTGATGGGCCCTGGTCTGTGCGTGACAGGGGGCAGCGCCCCAACCCCCTGATCCGCCCTGCTCTGTGCGTGACAGGGGGTGGCGCCGCAACCTCCCCATCAACCCTGCCTTGAGTGTGACAGGGGGCGGTGCCCCAACCCCCCAATCGGCCCTGCTCTGTGGGTGATAGAGGGCAGCGCCCCAACCCTCTGATCCGCCCTGCTCTGTGCGTGACAGGGGGAAGCTCCCCAAACCCCTGATTGGCCCTGCTCTGTGCGTGACAGGGGGTGGCGCCGCAATCTCCCCATCGACCCTGCCTTGAGTGTGACGGGGCGGTGCCCCAACCCCCCAATCGGCCCTACCCTGAGCATGACTGAGGGTGGCATCGCAACCTCCCAATCCGCCCTGCTCTGTGCATGACAGGGGGCGGCGCCCCAACTCCCCAATCGGCCCTGCTCTGAGCCTGACCAGGGGCTGCACCTAGGGATTGGGCCTGCCCTCTGCCACCCGGGAGCAGGCCTAAGCCAGCAGGTCGTTATCTCCAGAGGGGTCCCAGACTGCAAGAGGGCACAGGCCGGGCTGAGGGACCCCCCTACCCCCCGAGTGCACAAATTTTTGTGCACCGGGCCTCTAGTGTTATATATTAGACATTTAGTATTTTAAATGCCAATAAATATTACTTCAGTAATTTCAAGAATAAAGCAAAGGAGAGATTAATTTCCAATGCTAAATAGCTTCTACATGGCAACTTATGACTACAGGCTGAGTAAAGCTACTTTGTATGATATATACATGTAAAGTAAATTACTTTGTATGTATATATACCAACATATATATAATACCTTAGAAACTGAAAGTGTGTGTTCCTTTTTCAGAAGGTTTATATCAGCATCATACTTGTTTTGTAATAGCTTCACACTTTGCTCATAATCGTTCATAAGATGATCTTTCTCTTTATGCAGTGAATTGCGCCTAAAAATAAGAGAATAAAATATATTCCCAATACATTTGAAATCAATTCCTAGAATGGAATTTTTAGTCAACCAAATCCAAATGCATTATCTTTCAGTATGTCAAATAATTATCTACATTTTTATAAACTTTTTAAAAAGCATTATGCTTCTTATGTTAAGTGGGGCTTTAAAAAATAAACAGATGGCAGTGTTTAGGTTAGAAACCTCCCAAAGTTACTGTACAAGGTGATTAATTTTGGCATATACTTTACAGAGTTGATATCAGTACTTTACAGCCACACCTGAGAGATATCTGACTTCAGACAATACCTTGCCTTTACTTCTTGCAACTCACTACATGTTATCTGGTAACATCTCTCAAGTTCCAATTTTTCTTGAATTAATTTCTGCTTCTGTAAGTTACTGTTTTCTGCTTCTCCAGTCAGCTGCTGGACACGGGACTCCAGTTCTTTCACCATCTGGTTCTAAAAGAATAGGTCATTGTTAAAAAGGCCTCTGACTTTGTAACACTTCAGTATCATTGAGTAACCTGAAGAAAATACATACCCTATTAGAGATAATACAGAAAACAAATGAATCATTACCATATCATAAAAAATTAAACCAACCTCTAAGTTAACCAAGTCTTTAAAAAATGCATTCTACCATAAAAGATCATGATGTTTATATGCTTTTAGCCATTCATTCATTCATTAATTCAACAAATTTTATTGAAGTCTCTATCCTCAGGAAGGTTCCATCTTCTTCATGCAACTTAAGAAGTTTATATTGTTAGCTGAGCAGTTAGCAGAGTTTTTGCTCATTTGAAGTTTTAGAAACTTTTTTAAATTATAAAAGCAATCCTATCTAATAAAAGAGAAACATGGTAATTGGCGTACGACCGCTATCCTTCCCATTGGCTAATCAGCAAGATATGCAAAATAACTGCCAACCAAGATGGCGGCCGGCAGCCATGCAGCTTGAAACTAACATGAGGCTTGCTTGCTTCAGTGACAGAGGAAACCAACGTTCCCCGCCTGCCTTGCCGGCCTCTGAGCCTGCAGTTTCAAACATTGTAACAAATATAGAAGCTAAACAAAACCCCAGAAACCTGCTTTCAGCCCGCCGGGATCTCAGAGCTGGAGTTGATACAGAGTTTCGATTATAGAACCCAAACAAACCAGATACCTGCTTTCAGCAGCAGAGGCCTCAGAGCTGGAGCCAGAGCTAAAGATGGCCCAGAATAAAAAAAAAAAAAAGAATAAAAGGAGCAGTTGGGACCTTCGGTCACCCACCAGCCTGAAAACAGCCCTCAGCCCCTCACCCAGACTGGCCAGTTACCCCAGTGGGGACCCCCACCCTGAAGGGTGTGTGACCAGCTGCAAACAGTCATCATCCCCTCACCCAGGCTGGCCAGGCACCCCAGCGGGCACCCCCACCCTGATCCAGGGCACCCTTCAGGGCAAACCAGCCAGCCCCCACCTGTGCACCAGGCCTCTATCCTATATAGTAAAAGGGTAATATGCCTCCCAGCACCAGGATCAGCAGAGCCGCAAGGCCTCCCAGCACCGGGATCAGCGGAGCTGAGAGGCCTCCCGGCACCGGGATCAGTGTGACAGGGGGCAGCGCCCAAACCCCCTGATCGCCCTGCGGCTCTGTATGTGACAGGGGGCGGGGCCACAACCTCCCTATCCGCCCTGCTCTGTTCGTGACAGGGGAAGGTGCCCCAACCCCCTGATCAGCCTACTCTGTGCCTGATAGGGGGGAGCTCCCCAACCCCCTGATCTCCCTGCGGCTCTGTGTGTGACAGGGTGCGGCGCCCCAACCCCCTGATTGGCCCTGCTCTGTGTGTGACAGGGTGTGGCGCCCCAACACACACCCCCCCCCCCACGGGCCCTGCTCTGTGTGTGAAGGGGTAGAGCCATAAGCTCCCCATCGGCCCTGCCCTGAGTGTGACAGTGGCGGCGCCCCAACCCCCTGATCCGCCCTGCTGTGCATGACATGGGGGAGCTCCCCAACCCCCTGATGGGCCCTGCTCTGTGCGTGACAGGGTACGGAGCCCCAACCCCCCTGATGGGCCCTGCTTTGTGCGTGACAGGGGGCAGCGCCCCAACCCCGATTGGCCCTGCTCTGTGCGTGACAGGGTACGGAGCCCCAAACCCTCTGATGGGCCCTGCTCTGTGCGTGACAGGGGGCAGCACCCCAACCCCCTGATTGGCCCTGCTTTGTGCGTGACGGGGGTGGTGCCCCAACCTCCCCATCGACCCTGTCTTGAGTGTGACAGGGGGTGGTGCCCCAACCCCTCAATCGGCCCTACCCTGAGCGTGACTGAGGGTGGCATCGCAACCTCCCGATCCGCCCTGCTCTGTGCATGAAGGGGGCGGCGCCCCAACTCCCCAATCGGCCCTGCTTTGAGCCCGACCAGGGGCTGCACCTAGGGATTAGGCCTGCCCTCTGCCACCCGGGAGCAGGCCTAAGCCAGCAGGTCGTTATCTCCCAAGGGGTCCCAGACTGCAAGAGGACACAGGCCGGGCTGAGGGGCCCCCCCCTCCCCCCCGAGTGCACATATTTTTGTGTACCAGGCCTCTAGTGTAATAATACTTTTAAAAGGTAATTCATAGCCCAAGTATTTTAATACAGGAGTTATATGATACATGTATCCTATCTAATAAAGAGGGAATATGCTAATTGACCCTCATGCCATCACAAATACGGTGGCACCCACAGCCAATAAGGAGGGACTACGCTAATTGCTGCCCCACCCTCAATGATGGCAGCGCCCACAGCCAATAAGGAGGGACTACGCTAATTGACTGCCCCACTCTCAAAGATGGCAGCGCCCACAGCCAATAAAGAGGGAATATGCTAGTTGACTGCCCCACCCTCAAAGATGGCAGCGCCCACAGCCAATAAGGAGGGAATATGCTAGTTGACTGCCCCACCCTCAAAGATGGTGGTGCCCACAGCCATTAAAGAGGGAATATGCTAATTGACTGTCCCACCCTCAAAGATGGTGGCATCCACAGCCAATAAGGAAGGAATAAGCTAATTGACTGTCCCACCCTCAAAGATGGCACTGCCCACAGCCAATAAGGAGGGAATATGCTAATTGACTGCCACACCCTCAAAGATGAAAGCGCCCACAGCCACAAGATGGTGGTGCCCAGTCCTCGCAGCCCCGCTGGGGCGGCAGGCGTGCCGCAAGACTGGACTCGCCCCCAGGGCAGTCCCAGCTGCTCCATGCGCCTGCCTCTGGAGTCCCCCAGTCCCCTGAGCCCCCCAGGGCCGCCCGAGGCACAGGTAACCAGGGCCAACTGAGGCTTGCATTGCAGAGGTGTGGTGGGGCGTTGCCTTCCCCTAATTGCCTGGTCTCCTCCCGCCCCTGAGGGCTCCCAGATTGTGAGAGGGGGCAGGCCGGGCTGAGGGACCCCCCCTCCAGTGCATGAGTTTTCATGCACCAGGCCTCTAGTTATCATATAAGTGTATAGGAATATTTTTAGACAGTTGCAATGTTAGTAAGCATAATTTTCTTTTATTTTTACTTACTATTTTATCAAAAGCACTTCATTTTTCCAGTCTTCAAAGTTATCACATAATTAAAACCATTTCCCTATTATTTGATATTTGTTATTTTGAATTTTTCAACTTTATAGAACTAGATAGAGGTGTTTATGACTATGTATTCCATGTAAAATTAGGATAAGCAAGCATCAGCTAAAAGAACTGATTTTTTTATTGAAGTATACTTGATACACTATTCTATTTATTTCAGGAATACATCATAGTGATTTAATATTTATATACATTACAAAATATCAACCATTTTCATTTAACAATTGCATTTCCAATAAGTGTGAATAATTAGAAAAGGTTAGAATGATGTTCCAATCAGTATATTTTCATACTCTTTCTAAGATAAACATTTAAGTAAAGTTTAAGCATTACATAATATTGCAATCCCAACTTCTTAATGACCTTTCTTCATTACGATATGAATTAGATACATAATTTAAATTTTGGTGCAATAGCTTCCAAATCTGAGAAATGGACATAATTATATCTAACTTAAAAACATGATATATAAATTTATTTTTAAAATACATACAATTTCTAGCTCAGAGCCCGACACATATCTGATGCTCAGATTTCTTCTCTGTATATCCCATTCATTCGGCCTCTTTCCTAATGAGCCCTCTGCTTGAGGGGCTCCTTTCAAAAGATGGTGTCAATTTCCAAACATACATTCTAACTCTCCATGTTTCCTAAATATATCGTCTTATACAAAATAAAATCGGTACAAAGTAAATTTTTAAAATTAAAACATACTGTCAAGGGAAAGCCTATAGACATATATGAAATACTTTAAGGACAACAATATTTGGTCAAAATAACCTTTTTAAAATTGAATACAAAGAACAAAGAGATATAAAAATAGTGGATGCCTCAAAATGGGGTAAAAAGTTATTCAGAAAATAAGATGCTGACATAGATACATATTTCAGGCTGTGACAGACAGTGTAGAAGAGGAGTTCAGGGTAAGTAACAATAGCATCAGAGAAGTGGAGCAACTGTACAGTCAGTGACGAACATTACCTCGGGCACAGAGTCTCTGTTCCCACATTGTGAACTCAAAGGTAGCACTCGGAAGACTAGGTTGGAGTTCTTGAGTGGACATGGCTTGTAAGCAGAAGTGATAATGGGCATTAGATTAGTAATTCAAGTTCTTGGTTATGGGAAAATGGGACAAATATCATTTGTGAGATCTGGAATAAGAAGAGACAGGGAGAGCTACTGGCAGGTTACCGGAAGAGTCCCGGAATGCGGCAACAATGGCCTGGACGCAAGTGGTAGCTGTGGAAACAGAAGGGAAAGAGAGCACATCCAAGAAATGTTCAGAGAAACAAATAATGTGATTAAGTAAAATACTAAATGAATGAAATGAGAAGTGGCAAAAATCATAGATTTTCCAGGTTCAAAACCTAATATGCCAAGAGAATTGGCACATTGAGAATTAAGAGAAAGTTTAGAAAAGGGTATTATTTTTATAGGAAATATAGACATGATTTTCAAGAAGTAACAGGAAATTGTAAAATATCTGACAGGCCTTCAGTTATACAACCAATAGACAGATTAAGAAATGTAGGAGTTTTACATACAAACTTTGTTCGAAATCTTGTAAGAGTGAAAAATGAGAAAGGGTTACTATTTGGCAACTATTGAGAATCCAAAGTTCAACTTCTATGACAAAAGTAACAATACATTTTATCTTATTTCATAAACTTCTTAAAATATGACATACATACAAAAAGATGCACAAATTTTCACTATGTATTTTTGTAATTTTTTTACAAATTGAAAACAGCCACGAGTCACTACAAGACGTAAACATCACCAGTCGTGCCCTGGACGGTTTGGCTCAGTGGACAGAGTGTCAGCCTGTGGACTCAAGGGTCCAGGGTTTGATTCCGGTCAGGGGCATATGCCT